CATTGATAATCGAAAAAAATTTTTTTTAATTTTTAGAAATAGTCGTTTTGCTGGCTGTTTTTTTGGTAGCTGTTAAAATTGTGATTTGTATTCCATATTCCATTGTGGGTTCAATTTTTTATTATAAACACTCTGTAATAAGTTACAGTTAAAGCTCCGTGGTCTGTATTACAAAAAATCACTAACTAAATCGACCGTTCAAAATTTCAAATCTATCACTCATCGTCATGAAACTGCAGTATTTTATTGGCCCAACATTCACCTGCAATCCGAAACAAAACAAATTTAGTATTTATTTTAAAAATCTCCAATTTTATTAATCCGTATCATATATTTAATATTATATTATACTGTACCTAAGTATTTAATATAGTCACGTAAGCAATATTCAGTACGATACCATAAAATATGTGCATTATTGCATTGTATGGTGTTTGAAAACAATGAATAGTCTGATATTTTAAATATTCCTTTTTATTTAAAATTTAAATAGATTTKTTCAATCTAGGAAAAAGTAACATCGGGAAACTGAAAGATTTAAGACAATAGTCAATAATTTATGTCCGTAATGKTTCTCACCTCCACCCAAGCTATCGATTCCAAATCAGTTGAAACCTCTTGTTATCATMGTATAAATACAGTGGTTCTTAACCCTTTTTCGAATAACGAAACACATAGGAAACATTTTATACGATTTTCGTGACAATAGTATGTATTTATAAACATTTTAAATTTTAGAATATATTATATATTTATATAAAACAAAGAAAGTTTAAATGCATTTGTTTAGATGAAAAATGCTGTTTTAATTTCACTGATGCCATTGTACTATTAGAAAGCTTTTTCTCACAAACCACGCAAAGGGGAATTTGACAATCATTCTCGTTATCGTAAGTGAACCCAAAATATGAATAATCATTGCAATATTGTCTAATTTTTTTTATTTGTTTCTCATCATTGAGAGTATCATAAATGATATTTTTAATATTTGTAATTGCATATCAGCTCCAAAATTATGTTTTCGTTTAGAAATTTGTCTATTTTTTTTTATTAAAATAATCATTACATAGTATAGTAAGTTACATTCTATTGTAATTACACAATTATACACACGTCTTATATTTTGTATATTTTTAGAGTCCATAAAAGTCAAAATGTTAAAACAATGAAACTTACTCTATGGATTTTTTCACTGATTTTAAAATGTTGGYGGAACACCGGTTAAGAACTACTGTCATAGTTTATAATATAATATCATTACATATTWTAAGCAGGTTACACTCGCAGAAGTTATATAAAAATCAACGAGTGTCGCCCGATTTTTTTGTACGAAATAACATTGTGGCTGTACACATTTTTTTTTATCGAAGCACGTAATATAAAATACGAGGGAGCTATTATATACCTATATCAATTTTATATATATATAACTATATATATCACCGCGGTCGCTCTCGATTTTGGACAAAACAAACGGCTAATAGCACTCAACCGCGACTCTGGACTATATATATTTACAGAGATTGGCGTGTTGAACGGTATTGATTGGCCGGYGAAGTTTACTGTGTACGCACCTACTTAAATTGTCCAAGATTGTCTGGGATGTATGRAGAGGGTGGAGGGGGTTGCGAYGGGGCCTGGAGTGCAATCGTCAGGATATCAATCCCTTTTATCCTCTCCGCAGCCGTCATTGTTTTCGAACAAATTGTTACGGACATTATTTATTTGTTTTTATTTTTTTTTTCCTAATCTATATCGAAGAAAATTCTTAAAGCCTTACGTATTAGTATCACAATTATATATATATACAGCAGTAAACGTCTACTAGCAATTCTACGCGCCTATAATATATATATTTATTATATTGCAATAATAAGCCGACTTGCTGGTTATCCGTTCACGCAACAATTATAGAGCGTGTCTTCGTATATTAAATTTGTAGGAGTTAAAATGTACTTATACTTATATTGCAGTTTCATTGAAAGGCCATTAATATTTGGACTTATATTATCGAAGAGAACTGCAGCAGTCGTTATAAGTCRGGATAGGTAGGACGTAGAACAAAAAAGTAAGCCAAGCATACGGAYAATACTATTGATACYTACTCATATTTAAACAATATCACACCGGAAATAATCAAAAAGTAAATTAAAAGCCAACTGCGATAACGATTTTATGGCGGAGAATAACTGCAGTTATAACGATATTGCTTGAAAGTACGCAACACGGGCATTTGTTGTCTCCGTCTTACAAACGTGCAACATGGAAAATTGTACGTTCACAGTAATATGTTTTAGTGTTTTGCTTTGTAATTTTTAAAATTTGAGTGAATTTACTTCTTATAGAATTTAAAGTTAATAATTTTATCATCTCTGAAGATTTTATTGATATTATTATTTCTAAATAAGTTGTGACAATTTTTTACATAATTWTATTTTACATTTTAAAATGGATCATCACTAACTTAAAAATAATAATAGTATATCAATTATTAATCATAATATCAATAACATCTTTCTGAGATACCCTAGATATTTATGCTATTTTTGATAGATGTTCTCACTTTTAAATTGTATGATATGTAAATTTAATTGAATTAAAAAAATTATAAATTATAAAATATATTATTGTGAACGTAAGATTTATTTTGTTGTATGTTTGTCAGACGGAGATAAAAAATGCTCATGTGAAGTTTTCTTAAAAATAACATTAAACATAAAATTGTGAACGGGGCAAGCGCAACGATAATCCTTACCAATTTACAATTCCTCTGCACTCCAAGCCTGACAGAATGAGACGAATTAAGTTGTCTCATATTTATTTTTATACAGTACCTACTTTGATATTTACTGGTATGAGTCGCCATATCATCTMAAATAGCTACAACTAATCTATTCTAAGATTACTATGGAAAAAATTTACAAATTTTTGATTACATTCAAATTTGTATAGAATGATATTCTATTTAAACCTAATAAAACCAGATTATTTGATCACATTCGAAGTGGGATAGCGCTGTTTCATCCCCCCCCCCTATGACGCTTTGTCGCTGGAAGAGAGTAAATATTATTACAACGATATTACTATGGTGGCGTAATAATATGTCATAAAATTTAGTTCGATATAAATAAGCAAATTTTTGTTTAGTGTTTTAAAACAGACACTTCTGTGGTAGAGATAGTTATTTGAAAATATGTATTATATTATATCATTGTCCATTAAATTATTTCGTATTTATTATGTATATATTTTAGATAAGACACAAACATTTATTATTCATTACTTTAAACTTAAGTAAAAACAAGTTTCAAATCTGAAGGGAATTAGTTAGATAAAAAAAAATGGAAGTTTTTGAATTAAGTTGATCTCAGGTGAATTCCATGGAATAAAAATAAAAATATATAGTGATTGGCAATGGACTATAGCAGTGAGTAGGTACTGAAGGCTTTCCATGGCCAATAAATTATGATAATGTTGCTCAAACTTTGCAATTAAAATATAATATAAGCATAAAGTGTGATATTGGTATTGAAAATGTMATTCATTAATTCTAATGATCTTTTATAATTTCGTCATTTTCTAAGTATTTAAATGTTTCCTTAACTTAAATTTCATATTTTATTTGTCATATAAAAAGTTATCGAATTACTGATAATCTTGCTCTCTTATTGAGTCGATCTTTTGTACTATCACACCTCTACATCACCAGACTGTCATAACTAGAAATTCATAGTTTTGAGAAAAAGTGATTTTTTTTATTTATTTATTTTTTTTTATTGAAGATAAAAGTGTATTTACAATCTATACTTACAGTGTATAATAAGTAAGTGTGGTGACTTAAAAAGAAAAAGGAAAAAAAATAACATTAATTACAGAATAGGAAGGCTCCCAGCAGTGCCACCTGACAAGAAATTAGGGTTTGAGTTTATTTATTTTATTATTAAAAAAAGTGATTTAAAATTTGAATCTTAAAAAATTCTTTACCAACCAAAAACCTTTGGTTTGTTTGAAACCAAAAACTTAAATATTTGAAAACATACTTTACAATATAATTTTTTTTAATTACTATGAAATACTCTTTTAAACCAAAAAATTGTAWTAGATTATGATATGGCGTCGATAGGTATAATTATATTATATTACCGGATATTCGTCAAACGATGAGCTTTCRGGTGAGAGATTTGAACGAAACGAAAACGTTGATGGCGGCTAAAGTACAATAGAGATGAGCGAGTATTACAATWTAATGTATTAATAAGGTGTGTATGTAGTACCTAGGTACCTATTTTGATGCAATGGCTTCGTCTGTTAAATTGTATACATTTGTTCGTAGGTTTAATGTATATCTATAAATCTAAGCTACGTATATATGGATATTCTGCTCTAGGTGTGTGGGCAACCGTTTGCTGCGATGTTTATGTACGCACATATTATTACATATATTAATATATAATTTATACCTATACGCATTTACACTTTGCGGGATTCGTCTAGATTCACCGAACAGATAAATCGGGTGGGGGGAGGGGGAAGGTCCAAACGCGTCCACGTGCCAAACGTAGCGGAATTAATGGAATTCGAGTGACTATTATAGACTTAACTCTCAGCTGTTGAGCCCTTCGCGTAGAGGTACTATATACATCACACGCGCTGCATCAGCGGACAAGAGTGATCGCGCGATAATTTAATATAATCTAATACATAATATTATAAAAGCGGAGAATGATAAAACGATTCTTGTGTTACGTTTCGGAATTCTTTTACCATACATTAACGCCGAGCCGTGTGCACCCTAACCCGTATTATTATACCGCACTTTTATGAACACTACTCGAAGAGTCCGTATAGGCGGCGTCGGATTGGCCAATCGGCGGATCGCGTAGTTCGATGGGCCGCGCTCTCCGCCACGCCGACGCCGGCCGAAGACTCCGGAGTTTGCGGTCTCTCACTTTYGCTCTCTCTCTCACACACACACTTTTTCTCACTCTTCCTCTCTGGATTTTGACACTGGCCGTAGTAGCGTCAGGTACACAGTCATCGGCTTCCTGAATCGCCGGACGTACAGGAAAACTGTTGCGCTTACTACTGTTACTACGCTTACTACTGCTGCTGTTGCTACCGATACAGGTCAGTATAATTTTTAATTTTTCATGTCATCTGCATCGTTATTAGTGTTAAATATTATTTTATTCAAGTATTTATATCGCTTTCGGTTGACGTCAATAATTATAACTTACGCGAACACATTTTAGATAGTATCTAATCGTACAGTGGCGGCCTGGGAACWGATTATATGGTCGGCTAAATAAAAAAGGGGCCCTCATTTAGTTATAATTATTAGGAAGACTTGTGGCTTTGAACATATTTTTTCTATAAATTTGAAGGGGACCTAACCTAACCGACCCAGCCAGCCCGCCACTGTATTCGTACTTATTTGTCTAAAAATATATATGTAAAAAATACCTATAGGGTTGAAAATATTAAATCGTTAAAAGAATTTTTTTTAATAAGTAAATAATATAATACAACATTTACACCMAAGATTGATATTGTTACTTTAATTACAAACTAAAAAGAATAGTTATAATATTGGTATCGCGATATAACTATATATAATAAGCCTATACAGTTTTACAATTATATTTGTATCACTTGAAATATAAGAATTAAAAATACATGAAAAAAATATACAGAGAACGAGTGTCGGGCCCTTTATCACTATATTGGTATGGATAATTTGATAATATTATATTTAAGTAAAGTTAAATTTTGATAGTATATTATTAACACGTTATATGATAACGTTGTGAGTTCTAATTAACCGAAATATAGTGTTGCCTAACCGTATTATTATTTATTGAAACTGTATAGGCGAATTTTGATTTATGATATAGGTCAAGAATACTTATATACATATTAAGCACTGTACACGCAGACACTTCGCTAGATATTTTCTGCCATTTTTTTTACCAATAATTATTTAATTTTGCCACCTTCAAATTCTTTAAAATGTTATACTACCCTAAAGCAACACATGGTTTGCTCGTGTCTTAGCGACGAACCTGGATACATGTATTGGTTTGTCATTATTCTGCGATTTATTTATAGTCACGTTTAGAACCGACTGCACATTAGTTTTTTTGAAAACTGCGTTTGATTGGAATATATTAACAATATATTTGATGACATAAAAGAATTATGGAACGATTATTTGACAAGCACTAAAGACACATTAAATCTCGTAATATCAATACATACATATTTTTTGAAACTAATGATGATTACATATTTTTTGTTCCGTCTGTAATCAATACCTTTTCATCCACCACAATTTAACCGATGAATTGAAATGTTGCCGCACAAAAGGATAATAAATACCTATGACATAGTTGACGGACTTTTATGAAAAGGGTCTGATTTGAATTAATTTTGTACCAGTATATTATCAATTACCTAATTTGAGTTACAAAAAAAAAAAAATAATAATAAATCCATTATGTGGTATTATAGAAATTAGTTTTTGCATGCTATATGCTCTATCCCTTAGAGTTTCTAGTAATTATTACTTATTACCGTTTTCCATTTGTGAACATTTAAGCCCCAAARTTAGCGCTTTGTAAGATTTTAATACAATTTTTACGTTCTGAAAGTAAAAAATAATCAAAGAAATGAAAAAATGTTTATGAATGGCGTTTATTGTTTACAGCTAGTGGATTGTTATTTTKTGAAAATTCAAATATATTTTAGTGAACCAGGGTTTTTTTGTTAATATATATTGAAAAATAGTACCTACGACGTTTATTAGGGAACGAACGTCATAATAATAGTAATTGTTGTTTCTGGAACACAATTTATCAGGAATTCTCAGGAACACGCAAGAATTCGTAGGAAAAATTGAGCATTTGCGAGGTCATGTAACATTTATTTTGTTTCTAATTAAGAGGACGCAACACCCGTATTTGTTGTCTCAGTCTTACAAACGCGTAACATAGAAAATTTACGCTCAGCAGTTCACGTTTTACTCCGTTAGCTTAAAAACTAAAGCGAATAGACCTATTATGAAACGTGATGGTAACAATATTATTTGTGTTTTGTTGGAAGTATTCCTACGATAATTCAGTTTTTAAGTGAATTATGAGCATTTTTTTTTTTTAAATGTATTATACTTAAAAATTGAATTATCGTGAAAATACTTCCAACAAAACACACATAATGTTCTCACCATCAAGTTTCATAAATAGGTCTATTTGCTTTAATTTTTAAGCTAATAGACTAAAACGCAAACTTCTGAGCATAAATTTGTTATATTACGCGTTTGTAAGACTATAGAGACGACAAATATGGGCGTTGCGCCCTCTTAATAAACGTATCTCATATAATTTATTGACAATTTTATGAGCCATGTYCSAGTTACAACAATATAGTATGTAACAAATTAAAACTGATGATGGTTGATGGTTGATCGTGAAAGCGTAGTAAGATTTTTTCCATAAAAATTGTAAAAATAATATTTGTCTCAGTTTCAGTTAAGTAAAATATGTTGACTTTACTTCGTGTTTGATTTGTGTTATGTAACCTACATATCTAATAACTACCTATCCGGTCAGCATTACCCGTGCTAATGATTTGYTCATATTAAATATTATTTTATAGTTAGCCACATACTAAATTCATGTGTGGACCACCCTTTAGCTACCTGTTATAGAGGTTAAAAATAAGCTATAAAATATAAAAACCATCAAACTCTGAAGGAAACTATTGATATAACTTTTATTGAAAATGGTCCAGTAGTTTTTGTATCAGTTATCATTTTAACACAAACATAAAATTAAAACTGGGGGACGATGAGGTGGCCGAGYGGTCTAACGCGTCGGCTGAGGCTCAGCCGGACCGGTTCGATCCTCGACCATCGGGGAACATTTTTCTCCGAGAAAGTCACGGTGTCCGGAGAACAAGTGCCGTCATCCCCCACTCTGGGGCATGGCAGAAACCTACGGGTGCCCCAATCTCAAGTTATTTTATTACAATTAAATAAATAAATAATAAAAAAAAAGTTCGATTCTCTTAGAAAGACCAACAATTTTGAAATGTTTTCGATATTYGGTCCCAGCGCTTGGTCCATGGACTTTTAAACTATAATATACTAAATTTATAAATATTTAAATTATGGTAAGCAAACTATTATGGTCAATGTCRCATAAAAAAATAATGTGAAATAAATTGAGGTAGGCTGGTAGGCACAACAATTATTATCTTCTTAGGGTTTGTTTAATGACTTCAATTAATATATTTTGTGATATTACAATATTACATCAATTAATGTATTCTTTTCATAAAAATACTCATACAATGTTTTAATTCATTTTTTAATGCTCAAATGTCATACTTAATATAGTTCAATTTACCAAGCATTCTCTCTCACATTATTATCATATAATGTATTTATTAAAATTCTAGTTTTTTCGGAATTATTAAGATTACTCAAGGACCATATTATCTTAAAAATCTTAAATCATTTAAGGTGTGTTATATAGTGGTACAAAACTTGTATTTTTCAATCAAGAATTACTCTTTTTTTATACAAATTTTCAAGCAACTTATGTTTTTGAAATTTTGAAACCTATTTACAGTTATATTAATACTATTCCCTTTCACAAGAACATATTATTCTATCATCCTTAATTAGTGTCTTTTAAATTATTCCTCAGTTCATTATTAATTAGTATTTATTAATAAATATTTTTATAAGTGAATACTAATTAATTAAAATATACAGAGTATACATTAAAATCCGCATCGCATCACAATCTCACTACTCGACCAGTGTAACGAAATCATATCCTCAAAACTCGTGAGTGTAACATTTTAGTCATACATATTATTGTGGTATAAAAATGGTAGGAACGCGATTCAGTTTTGAAAAGATATTTCAACCCCTTCATTGAAACTGTGTAATTAAGTCACTGAATTTAATAATATACATGCCTAAATAACATTAAAAAAATATTTTTTTATTATTTTTTTAATAAACTTGACATAGGTGATATAATTCTAATTTAAAAAAGAATATTTGGACTTAATTATAACATACTTGAGTATAAATTTTCTATGAATATCATTTAGAAAATATATTTTTTTAAATTTTTAGGTATAAAATGAGTGGTTCTGGGAAAAGTCTTCTTGGTCTTTGGCTTTATCGAACCGGAGAAGATTGGACTCTGAGAGAGTCATCTCAAGCACCTGTATGATACTCTAATTTAAAAAAATTTTAATCAAATCATTCACTAAACAATAATATGCATGTTACAGCCGAGATCTGCAATGAGTAGTCGATCAGATCCGACAAGATTCGATACAAGGAACTCTGTAATATTCTCATTGAAAAACCGGGTCGGTGGACTTGCTCAAGCACTCCAAGTTTTTCAAGTAAGTAGATTTAATTATTTATTGTACTCAATGTGGATAATTTAATATAAAATCAAACATAAATCAAACATGAAATCAAAATATGATATAAATAAGCAATGTTAAGTTAATTTTTGAATGAACACTCCATTGAGCTTAATAATTTAATTATAATCCATCTATGTCATTATTAACTCTGTCCTGTTTGATTAATTTCGGAATGTGTTTGCTATACGTCGAATGAATACATAATTCAAATATTTTTTTTTTATKTACTAATTTAATTTAGACGAAAACTTAAATTATTTAAATTATACGAATATAGTGAATCCAATATATTAAAAATAAATTATAAAGACAAATTAAGTAGTTTATTCGAATTGATGACAACATCTCAAAATTTAAACCATTTACAAAATTTCACAAAATACAAATACGTTCACAAAATACAAATACGACACTTTAAACAATAATATAAGTAATTTAGTTTCTGTGGATTTTATCAACCCAAAAATACAAATAATTACCTAACTAATAACTCACGTACTTTTTGTTTCTGTTTGGAGCTAATTTAAAATAGGTACACTAACGATTTCATCTGAGTATTGCCATTTAATCGTTTCAGATGTTTATCATATAAATTATAAATATAACGAATATCTGTATAATATGTTTGTTAATTAATGATCATATTTGTTTTGATATTGACTTGGCGTTGGTAAAGTGAATATTTAAATTCCTATTTTAAACCACGAAAAAAAATCTTAATCAAAYGTATCATTATTTTTATTATTTCTTATAATTTGTTATACTACAGTACCAATACGCCATACATATGTCGAATTTTAATTTTTAGGATTTAGGTGTAAATGTGTTGCACATTGAATCTAGACCATCTCGTCGTAGAAAATCAGAATTCGAAATTTTGGTAGACGTGGAATGTGACAATAAAAAAATGGAACAGTTGACTGGGATGTTGAAGCGTGAGGTTGCAGCTATAAATTTGGAGACATATGAGAGTGGTGCTGAAGTACCACCTCCCACTCCAATGTCAGAGACTGCTAGTTTTGGTAAAAATGTATTCAAGCTTGCTTAAGTCTAATTTGTGTTAAATAATAATAATAATATGATATTAATGTTTTGTTTTATGAAAGACTCACTGTGTGATGATATTATTTTTATTTTAATATAAAACTTCTCCTCCTTAAGCCAATATGGCTCTATACGGTATACAGGTCTGGGGCACTACCAAAAATCGAATATTCAAAAAATACAAGTGTTCCAATCTAAAATCCTCAGACTCATAACCAATGCTCCTCTTTATATCTCTAATCACACCCTTCATACTGATCTCCATATCTCGGCCACTGAAACAGTTAAGCTATTGTACTCTAAATTCATAAATTTCCTTCATAATCACACTAACCTTATGTTAAACATTTACTGTCCATCTCCATCCCCGAAGAACCTCCTAGAAGACTCAATTGAAAATGGCCTCAAGATCTTATAAATTAAAAAAAAAAATCCTAAATAATTTGTAAATTCACGCCGAAGTGCCTTCGCTGGTTGGTTCTTCCCTCAAAACAATCAAGATAATACATATATATTATATAATATATATATATATATATATAATTTAAAAAAAAAACATTATTTATGCTTATTATACTTTTTTTATGTACAGATTGTATAAAATCTAGATTAAAAATTTAAAAAATATATATATCAAACTTCTAAAATTAAATATAATTCATTGATTTTATTAATTGTTTAATTGTTATTTTTGTGTTATAAGATTTCTCAGAGTTTGAGCTTCCGTGGTTTCCGAAAAAAATTTCTGATTTAGATAAAGCTCAACGAGTACTAATGTATGGAACAGAGTTAGATGCTGACCACCCAGTAAGTGTTTCGTATACAGCGCACAACTAATCATTGTCGAGTACTTACATCTTTAATATGATTCTGTTTGCTATAATCTTAATCACTATTTTCTCAGGGATTTAAGGATCCGGTGTATCGGAAAAGGCGTGTTGAATTCGCACACATAGCAAATTCTTATAAATAGTAAGTAACATTTTAATATTAGAAATTATTATAAACGACAAATCGATATTGACCATAGACAGTACCAGTAGTCTGGTTTGCAATGTTACAAGAACCTATAATTATGATATGATATCACGCAATTATCATTGTATGTATTATTTTAAGACTTTCGATTCAATGCTTAAAACGTGACGACATTGTTTCAGTGGACATCCAATACCAAGAGTTCAGTACACACCCGAAGAAATCAAGACTTGGTATGTGCATTTTTCCGTTTGACGTTTTTTATCAATTAAACTTATCAGTGTATTAATCAGTTGAAAAGTCAGTAACCCTTTTTACATTTTTTTTTTTGTAGAATTCATAAAAGAATTTTAAACTTCTTTTTACTTTTATTTTTATGATGGTAAAATAGCGTCATATTTTAATAAATTTAAAATAGCAGCTATATCGTTTTATACCGTAGACTATAGAGTTCCTGATTTTACAATATCAATATAAGAAAGTAAATTGTAAATGTTCGCGAAAATGAAAAATGCACTCTATTGCGTAGTCTTAAACATTGTGGCAATCGTGTGTTTTAGTTTTTATCATAACAAAATATCTTGAAAGGTATTTTCCTTCTTTTATAACAATATCCCGATCTGTCCGTTTTTAAAATAATTATTTATTCATTGGCACGGTTCTCGTTCGGCGGTTTATATGCTCAGTTGGTTATTAATTTGATTATCTCGAATAAACGCCGGATAGTCCAATACTGTATCGAAACCAATATTCAAACTGTTATTGAGTTATCTGGATACAGCGAATTCATATATTATATGTTCACCTTTACTCAATAATAATAATTTATAGGTTACCTTTACTATGCGAAAACCAACTTGATTATTGTTATTGTTATATGTAGGTAGTAAAATGCGTGTACGTATTTATTTTATGAATACTCGCATTGATAGTTTAATCGAATTTGCAAAACTGCCAAGACGTAATAAAGTGAATTTAATCCAATGAATAGGATACTGTGAGCGATCCAATAGGTTCTGGACGTCTGTATGTGAAACGTCGCCGTTAATAATCACGTCAAAAACAATTTTCTTCGTCGAAAACGATATACGCCGTGTATATGATAAATKTTATATATATCTAATATTATTATTTATATCTTTCAGGATTTTTCAAACGATACCAATTGAGACACGCGCGTGCATGCGTTTTTTCCGATATATAACCAATAAAGAATTATGTGACATAATGTTTTATTCTGTCTCCCTTTTCTCAGGTCCACATTGTTATTTTTTTTTCACACGACGATTTGTATCATCTATTTTTTTCTTCGAACAGATTGATTTTTAATAATTTTTGTCTATCGTCTTTAACGTGTTATTATCGTAATACTTATTTATTGTTTTTCGTAGGGGTACCGTGATGCGTGAACTGCACAAACTGTACGTAAAGCATGCGTGCAGGGAATACTTGGAGAACTGGCCGGATCTGGTGAAGTAYTGCGGTTATCGAGAGGACAACATTCCACAGTTACAAGACATAAATACATTTTTGAAACGTAAGTGAGTCACTGCAAGCGATTATACCAATAGTGTTATTGGTTATAACCAGCTGAACTTTATTATATACCGCGATTAGCCGGCGTGATATATATGCGATTTAGGTAAATCGCCATTTAAACGGTATTTTTCGCTTAAATTTAGACGAATTTGATATACGTATACAATAGGAATAGTGACGAAAATAGCGTGGTGAATGSGACTACTATGAATGATGGTGTAATGGTGGACCTCAAGGGGGGCGTGACTGTTAGTTATACCATACTTATTACTTATGTATTCGTTATAAATCCATTAACAAGTAATTTATGCAACATGTTGTGATTAAAGCCCAAATTCATGAGAATATAATTGCATAATGTGCAAAATATATTCAAACATACTAAACTTGAAAAATATACCAATTTAATAGTCATACATTTTTTTACATTCAACATTACCAATATAATAATCATCTAAAAATATGCTTTCTTTTGRTTTTGATATAAAAACGTATACGTAAGCTTGCAAATCCGGAACATACATTAAATATTTGAAACTTCGCCCAAGACCTACTCAAAGAAAAAAAATACTTCTATATTCACCAATTGGTAACAATCTTAGTCGGTAAAATTTTATATTAAAATTGCCACGTAAGGATAATAATAAAAAATAATAATATACATTTATACATGTATATCACGGTCCTTTTGATATGAACGTGATCTACCGGAACCACACAAAGTRGTTCATTGGAAATCATTGATCATTTTTTGCGTACAACTTTTAGGCAAAACCGGCTTTCAATTGCGACCAGTCGCCGGATACTTGTCTCCGAGGGATTTCCTCTCCGGGCTAGCTTTCCGCGTATTCCATTGCACACAATATATGCGTCATTCGTCGGATCCTTTCTACACACCGGAACCAGATTGTTGTCACGAGCTGTTGGGTCACATGCCGCTATTGGCTAATCCCACATTCGCACAGTTCTCCCAAGAACTGGGACTCAACTCGTTGGGAGCCAGTGACGAGGACGTTGAAAAGTTAGCAACGGTAAGCGCGTCACATCTCGTTGWTTATTGGTTATACTGGTCATAATATATATTTTAGTAAAAAAAACAAAGACCTATATGTGATGACTGATGATGTTCTTTAATATGTAAATCCGCAGATTTGACTTAAAATTGAAACCAATTTTTAGCATTTATATTTAGAACTCTTTGCAATTTGTTTCATTTCACGAAAATCGATTATTTTTGTATCTAGATAATATAAAAAAAAAATATAAATATATCTACATAATGTTGCCATTGATAACAGAAAATAACATGGTTATTTTAATAGCATATAATTTTGTGAATCGTATTATATATTTGGTAACTGATGTGAAACATTGATATAAATATAGTTAATTGCAATGATGTTAGTTTGTTTAATTTTTATTCGTTTTTTTTTTTTTGTATATTGCTATAAAAGAACAATCTACGAAAGTTTCCGGGACTTACATACTTAGGAAATACTTGAATTTCTCAATTATAAGTCACCTATTAAAGGGATCCCTAAAAATCTGTACGTACATTCTACTTACATGACATAAAACACGGCTTATTACCACATAGCCTTGAAAAATCATCTCCTTTGTAATTGAATATTATCATATTTTTAATATTATTATTGTTTTTAAATCTATCTAGCGTACTAAAAACTATGTAAAGTATTCAATGTATTCAATTTGTAATATTTTTAAACGTTACGACAAGTTTTTCACAAGGTGTTGTATATTASATTTATRAYTGTAACAAAACGGTATAATAGATAGATACATTAATAATTTAAGCTTGTAGAAACTAGAAAGTCTMGTATGCTGGTTATASARCCTGCAGTAGTAACATAATATAAAACGATATATTATGATCAGTGGTTKGCTTGGAAAAAAWAGCGTACTGAATACMTACGCTCATTGATTGTTATTTAGTTGATGTATTTTTTTAATGGACTAACTATATTTTTATGTCCACTGTAGCTATACTTCTTCACCGTGGAATTCGGAATGTGCAAACAAGATGKCGAACTAAAAGTTTACGGAGCTGGGTTGTTAAGTTCAGTGGCGGAGTTACGGCATGCGATTGAAACAAAAGATAAAATACAGCGATTCGATCCCGAAGTTACGTGTCACCAAGAATGTATCATAACATCGTACCAAAACGCCTACTATTACAGTGAGACATTTGAGGAAGCTAAGGAAAAAATGAGGTGATTTATAATTCAGGGTGATTGATTTATCAAACAACACTCATTATTTAAAAWAGTATTGACTTTTTTCAAAATATATTTTTACATAGTTTCAAGTTGTTAAAATCCCAACGTTTTTATTAAACAATTATATTTTTAAATATTTTTTATCCTTATCATTTTTTAAGTTTTTTACATTTTTGAATGACAACATAGAGTTTTAATTTCATATTCAAAAGCAGAATATTTTTCTAAGTATTTTGATTAATAAAAATCGAATTTAGGGCTAGTATAGTTTATATAGTAGTTATAAGTATTTAAAGTTTAGATTGGCAGAGTGGAGTGGTATGGGGTTACCCCGCCAAATGTTTGTCCACTACTCCGCTTGTCTAAGGTAATATTTATTATTTATATCAATAAGGGTAGTTGTTTACTAAATCTAGTATTTATTATTTAATTATTATACGAGTATTACGTGATTTTCAAAATCCAAAATATAGTTGATAAATATAAAAAACAAAGTAGTACTTACCTTGTATTTTAGCAAACAATAAACATGTCAGATTTATAGAATATTAATACACATATTTAAGTAAATGAAATAATGAATAATCAGCGATAGCGATTTGTCTAAAATATTATCAATTTTAATTTTTAAGTCAGCTATTAACTAATCTACAGTGAAGTATTTTTTGTTTAATATATAAGTGATAGTGTATCATTATATATTTTGTATAAGTATTATGTTAATACTTAACAGATAAAAATGTTTTTATTCTTTGGTTTTTAATTTTGAATATAAACACGGTTTTATATTTACTTTTTTATGATATTAATATTGTAGTTAGTAATTTAAAATAGTTACTCGTGAATAAAATTATAATCATAGAATTTTTACTAACAGATTGAACCTCCTCACGTTTCCACTTTGTCAAATAAGTAGTGCTTTTTGGTTATACTGAATTACTCTGATACGGTACAATTTATTTCATACTAAACGGACTAAATCACTGCACCATGTCGGCACGTRACTATCAATGCATTTAGTATTGAYTTAGCAGGTTTATGAGTAACAGGTGTATACACGACTTTATATACACGATACGTACATAATAAAGCTTTTAAAATAAAATAAAATAGTTAGCTTAGCTACAAATAACATTTATTAAAATTTATTTATTCTTCAAATCATAGACCTTACCTTAAATAGCTAATMTTTTAACGAAAAGCGCGTAGGCAATATAGACATTTTATGGAATATTAAATTTGCAATTTTTATTAACGGTCGCGACAGTTAATGGTCACTATACAGGGTGATTTTTTTTATCGAAGAACACTCATTATTTAAAAAAGTATGAGTGTATGAGTATGAGTGTTCTTCGATAAAAAATTCACCCTGTRTACAATAATAAATAACGATTTGGTGGGATAAATGCTTTCATTGATGTTTACGTTTTGTGAGATTTCATGTTCAAACGTGGGTTTTTTCATTCYAGAGAATTTGCCGACAGCATTCAAAAACCGTTTGGAGTGCGTTACAACCCTTACACTCAGAGCGTGGAAATTTTAAGCAATACGGACAAGATCGTCGCTCTGGTGTCGGAGCTCCGAGGTGACTTGTGCATCGTAAGTAACGCATTGAGAAAAATTCACGCCGAAGATGAAGCGGTGGAGAACATCAATAACATGTTACACAAAGGAATGAACGTGGGCGGGGTTTCACCGGAAAAGTCTCCCGAAAAGTAAAGGCGCCACCCGGATGAATGTTGGATCATAGTTAATTAGCGAGAATCAGTCAGTTATGTATAAAAAAAAAATATATATATATATATTTATCATCGATATAAGATACACACTTAAAATATCATTATGTMAACTAATCAAATCATAGCAGTAGAGAGCGATTAGACACTCGAAGTCGTTAGTTTTATCGGTATCATATTACCTATGATTATATTATATTTTAAGAAGATTGTAGTTTTTGTTCCCGAAACTAATATATATTTTATGACGCGTAGATAGATTTATTTGACGTTATCAATAAGGAACATCACGGTGTGTGCGCGTTTAAATCAACTGAACAATATTGTAACACTCATTATTATTATTGTCATTGAGTCGCAAAGTTTTACCTCACTTAATTGTTATTATTATTATTATTATTATTAGCTATTTAAGCTGTTTATCGGTTGCACCGAGATCTTGACCACGTAGGGGTCGGATGATAATTAATGCATTGACAGCAAGCTATACATGTAGATCCGTAGATGAGAGTTGTCTTAAAAAACAATTGTAATGTTAAAACAGACTTATCGGCATTTCGGATAAACAATAAATAAAATTGATTAGTTTGTAAGCGATTAGTTTGTAGATAGTTAGCGAGGAGTACTCGTATACGTTTGAAATATATTTACTTATTTTTTCATATTTTTTAAGTTTGTAATTCGGTGCAACCGATTAGACATATTCTATATTATATTCGCTTATAATATTATAAAATACTTCATAATTTCTCAATTAGCTCTATAATTGTATTGATTGTGTTAGGCGGCAAATGCTGATTAATGCGTTCATGTCATTAAGAACTTAGTATTTAAAAATGACRTGATTATTTAAACAATATTATTAGTTAATATCGATTAATACCATAGAATCGGTTAGTTGGATTTTATTTGTGCAAATTATTATGTTTACAATTTAAATGTTTAACGACAAGTTATGAGTTAACTCAAATTAGAAATTAAGGCATGCTTTGTTCCATTATATGACATATTATTACCTAATAATATAAAATATRCATTTATCTGGTTTATTCTTAAAATATGTAATATTGTATTAGCGTTTTCATACAATCAATATTAGGTGTTACCTATGAAAACTACTTTATATTAAAATATAATATTTACGACCAAACTATGGTGCAAAAAATTTTGCGTTTGGAAAACAACAATTTAGAGTGAGTTTTAGTATTGATTATTATAAATACTTTACAATCGTTAAATATCTACCTACCRACGTCGAACGTAGGTGTATCTATTTATTCATGATAATATATTATTATTTTAGTAATATTATTTATAGACCTATACCGGCGCACTGTATAGTCAATTTCAGTACATTGGTGTGTATATTTCACAGTGATGGTATATTCGATCGGTTCTTATGTCCAYGGAGTCATAGCAATGTTATGGGTGAGTAACAAGTATGAACTAAAATGTTAACTAACTAATTAGTTTGAAAAAATATTGGTTTAATATTCACAAATTGTTTGAAATTATCAATTCTTATATGTTATATTGTTTCTTATTTTGAATACCAATAATACCATGTACTAAACTATAATCTATAGGTATATACTGTATATATACTTATTATTTATTATARTATAGAATAAAGTTATTGAAAATCTTGAGTTCTATGCAATTGCTCGTTGGAACTTTGCGTATGAGAGTACATTTTTGTACTAAAAACAAGGGGCTCATTGGTACTTACTTTATCGTCTGGTATCTTTTTTGAAATTCTTCATGATCCTTCTCAAAATATTCTGCTTAAATACATCTAGCCTTTATTTTCCGGAATCATATATTATGTTACATATTTTCACGATACAACTAGAATGATCTGCAGCGTTAAGGACTTAAGTTAAAAGCGCACTGCTCACATAGGTCACTTTATTTTACCTATAATGTTATAGTCATTATTTTATATTTATTGCAGTTCATAGCAGCGACCTACATTCCAGGAATTTATTTGAAGGTCCATCCAGTAGTAAGATGTTCAAATGTTTAACACCAGTAACACTTACAATAAGTTATTGAAAAAAAAAAATTGTTCACCTCAAGTAAATACTTCCTTTCACTTTCCATAAATAAGTGAAAGAAATTTTACCGCTGCTAAATCGTTCAAGTCGAGTCTATACTGAAACTGCAAATTTAATATTTTTAAGACCAAACACTTGATATCAATTTTGTCACACGGACCACACTAAAATATACAGCAGGGTGTTCAGAATATTGGCAAACCGTCATTAGACTGGTTAAGACTGATAACCGACAATATAATATTATAAATTATAACTAACGAGGTGATTAAATATTTTACCTATTAATTATAATGTGGAACAGTTTTTTTTCTATTATTGCTACATGCGTTAGGTATAAGTATAAGATTAGGTATTATGCGAATAGTAACTAAACAGTTATCAATTATTATAATATTTTTTTTTAACATCTTTTGTAAACAATAAAGGCGTACCTAAAAGCTTATTTTAATTGTTTTCCAATGGAAAGTTTGAACATAAATGTACGTCGTTCGTTTTAAATAACAACAATAAAGTCACGAAATAAATAMCTACGTAAAATTACACGGGTGATTTATAGAAATATCTAATAAGTACATTGTCCTTTTGCTCGCAGAGCTAGATAGCGAGAATACATTTTTAGGAAATTGTATCAACAAAATATTTTTTTTCGCGTTATTCACTAGATTTTTTTTTTGGTCTTGACGCTTATCAATATTACATAATGGAAGTTCAATTACTTTTTATATCAGAAATTTGCATTGTTAATATTTGATTTGGTGACCCATATGTATGTACTACAGTAGAATATATTATAATATATTATATAGTATATACAATATACCTATATAATGACTGTCGAATACAAAATATAACCTACCTTATCTGTGGAGTTTTACGTATTGAAAACGAAATGCAAATAATTGAAAACAACAGTGGCGGATTCACTTAAAAAGCTCTGTTCTTATAATTTGTTGGTTCGAGACAACCTTTGAACAATATTAATTTATTTGTATAGACCATATACTATTATAATACTATATACATTTAATAGTCGGATAATATCATTCTAGTGGCAAAAATCAAGGGTGTGGCCTAGGAGGAGGGTTTGGCGGTTCATACCACCCCCCGAATTAGCTTTATTATTTTTTTTACCTTATTTAAAAAAAACTTTCCATATTTTACAAAATTAAAAGCACCTCCAAAACAACATCCTGACCACGTCCAGGTTATTTTAAGATAACAATTTTACTTGTATTCTTGTTCAAATATAAAATACCAAGATCAGCCCTCGTACCACTGTCAGTAGCCTACTCACCCGTGTGATGATAGCTGTTGTCAATAATATTGTGTGTTATGGAACGACGATGACTTAAATAGGTATAGAACAATAATACACTTGTACAAAATAAACTTCACATTTTTCCAATTGTCATTAACGATATACTTATATTATAGAAATCATTACKTTTTAGAACATACAATACAATATTATTGGATAATGAAAATTCTATTTCATTATAATAGGTATGCTATTTTTTAATTGTCACACATTTATTTATTTTTTTTTTT